GACCAACAACTTTTTCATTGCAAATACCTTTTTTCAACAACATAAACAGTGGCTATACACATGGACCTCACTAGATGGAATACACAGGAATAAGATCGAATACCTCTGTAGAAAGAAGCAATTGAGGAGTTTAATATCTTCAACCAAAACAAGGCCAGGAGCTGACTGTGGAACAGACCATCAACTGCTTATATGCAAGTTCAGGTTGAAGGTGAAGACAATTAAACAATTCCATATGAGGCAAAATATGACTGTGGTTATATCCCACCTACTTTAGAGACCACCTGAAGAATAGATTTGATGCATTCAATGCCAATGACCAAAAACCAGATGAATTATGGGATGACATCAAGAACATTATCCATGAAGAAAGCAAAAGGTCATTAAAAAGGTAGGAAAGGAAGAAACAACCAAAATGGATGTCAGAAGAGACTCTGACAGTTGTTCTTGAACATAGAGTAGCTAAAGCCAATGGAAGAAATGTCAAAATAAAGGAAATGAACAGATTTCAAAGAGCAACTAGAGAAGACAAACTCAATTATTATAATGTACACAGACCAGGAGTTAGAATACCAAAAGGGAAGAACATGCTCAGCATTTCTCAAGCTGAAAAAACTGAAGAAAAAATGCAAGCCTCAAGATGTAATATTGAAAGATTCTATGGACAAAATATTGAATGATGCAGGAAACATCAAAAGAAGGTGGACGGAATACATAGAGTCACTGTACCAAAGAGAAATTGTCAATGTTCATCTATTTCAGGAGGTGGCATATGATCAAGAACCAAGGGTATTGAAGGAGGAAGTCAAAGCTGCACTGATTGAGATGTTTCAACAAACAGATGCCACACTGGAGGTACTCACTCATCTATACTAAGAAATTTGGAAGAGAGCTACCTGGCCAACTGACTGGAAGAGATCCATAATTGTACCCATTCCAAAGAAAGGTGATCTAACAGAATGTGGAAATTATTGAAAAATATCAATGTCACACTCAATTAAAATATTGCTGAAGATAATTCAAAAATGAAGATAATTGACAGAGAACTTCCAGAAATGCAAGCTGGATTCTGAAGAGGATATGGAATGAGGGATGCCATTGATGTCAAATCGATCTTGGCGGAAAGCAAAAAATACCAGAAAGATATTTACTTGTGTTTTATTGACTATGCAAAGACATTCTACTGTTGGATCATAACAAATGATGGAGAACATTGAGAAGAATGGGAATTCTAGAACATTTAATTTTGCTCATGAGGAACCTGTACATAGACCAGGAGGCTGTCGTTTGAACAGAACAAGGGGAAAGTGCATAGTTTAAAATCAGGAAGGGTTGTATCCTTTCACCATACTTATTCAATCTGTATGCTGAGCAACTAATCCAAGAAAATGGATTATATGAAGAAGAACATGGCATCAAGATTGGAGGAAAGCTCATTAATAACCTGCGATATGCAGATGACACAAACTTGCTTGCTGAAAGTGAAGATGACTTAAAGCACTTACTGATTAAGATTGAAGACTGCAGTCTGTAATATGGATTACACTTCAAAATAAAATGAAAATTCTCACAACTGGACCAATAAGCAGTGTCATGATAAATGGAGAAAAGATTGAAGTTGTAAAAGATTTCATATTTTTTGGTTCCACCATCAACACCAATGGAAGCAGCAGTCAAGAAATCAGACAACATATTGCATTGGGCAAATAATCCACTGCAAAAGACCTCTTTAGAGTGCTGAAAAGCAAAGATGTCTCTTTGAAGACTAAGATGCACCTAACCCAAGCTGTGGTATTTTCAAAAGCCTCATATGCATGTGAAAGTAACATAATGAATAAGGAAGATCAAAGAATTGATGCTTTTGAATTTTGGTGTTGGCATAGAATCCTGAAAGCACCATGGACTGCCAGAAGAACTAACACAGCAGTCCTGGATGAAGTGCAACCAGGAAGTTCCTTAGAAGTGAGAATAGATAGACTTCATCTCACCTACTTTGGTCATATTGTTAGAAGGGACCATTCCCTGGAGAAGGATATCATGCTTGATAGAGTGGAAGCCAGTGAAAAAAAGGAAGATTCTGAATGAGGTGGATTGACACAGTGGCTACAGTGATGGGCCAGGTATAGCAAGGATTGTGAGGCTGGTGCAGGACCAGGCAGTATTTCATTCTGTTGTATATAGGGTCCCTATGAGTCAGTACCTACTCAACATCATTTAACAGCAACAACCAAAGGTGAAGAGTTCGAGTCAACCCATAGGTACCTCAGAAGAAAGGCCTGGTGATCTACTTTCTAAAATTCAACCATTGACATACATGGGGTTGCCACAAGTCAAAGTCAAGTTGATGGAAACTGCTTATTGGCCACAAGGCATGTAAAGTCATGGTCTTCAATTCAAAGGTCCCAGGAACTACTGAAACATATTTCATGTAGTCTGTTTGTCTGGGAACATGAGAGCCAAATAGATCATGAAGCATCTCTAAGCAGACAATAAGACAAGAAAAGAAAAGAAAGAAAGGAATGCACATTTGTTGAGTGCTCATTGTACACTGGGCACTTTACCTGGGTGATCGATGTAGTCCTTGCAACTGTCCAGTGAGATGATGATTTCCCATGTTTTACAGAAGGAGGAAGCAAGTTGAGTGAAGTCAAATAACTTGTCCAGTGCCACTTTGGTTAGCACATCTGCCAGATGTGTTCTTACCCTTCTCTTATAGGCCATGGAGAGATTGAAGTTTCATAGCCTCTAAACCAAAACTAAACCCACTGCCATCAAGTCGAATACGACTTTTAGTGACCCCCCACACATACACACACATTGGGTTTCTGAGGTGGTAAAACTTTATGGAAGTTGGTTTCTCCATCTTCCTTCTGCAGAGCAGCTGGTGGGTTTGAACCACCAACCTTCTGGTTAGCAGTCAAATGCCTTAGGCACTACAACACCAGAGCTCCTAAAGGGAACAAAGAAGCTATTTAAAGAGAGGAAGTAGAGAAGACGGGCAGGGAGGTCTGGAAAAGGAGAATGGTCAGTGAAACTATAGTTTCCTACGTGTTCACTGCTCTTGTCCCTATAGTGACTCATTCAAAGACAATAACTCAGTCTATTAACCTTCATCATTCAGATTAAGGTATCACTAGAGATGGACCCAAGGCATACACTGGGAAAAAGAAAAAGGGCTTTCTGTGTGGCATAGCAATGTCATGATGTGCAAATACGGCATAAGCACAAGTATAGAAGTTTCTGGACAAGATTTTGCTTCTGATCCAGGAATTAGCCTTCTTGTTTCCCCTTCTTTCCTACCTGAAATACAGCCTGGGACCTGGTGGCACAGTAGCCATCTAGGGACCATGAGGTGGGGAGCAGAAGGAGATAGGCCTCTGTGCTCAGGACAGCTGACTGGGAAGGTTGGAGGAGGCTGCTGGTCTCATTAAGATGCTAAACCAGGTCTGGGTGCCTACTGCCTGGACTTCTGTTAACTGCTGTAGGGTCTTCTATCATTTACAGAGAACACCATCTTAAGCCAGAATACACACACACACACACACACACATACTTGTTGTTATGTGCCATTGAGTCGGACCCGACTCATAGCAACCCCTCCTTGGGTTTCCAAGGCAGTATCACTATGGAAGTAGATTGTCCAACCTTCCTTCCAAAGAGTGGCTGGTGGGTTTGAACCGCCAACCTTCTGGTTAGCAGTCAAGTGCCTTAGGCACTATGCCATCAGAGCTCCTCACTCTCCATAGCATGAGAATTAGATATTGTAAAGATATTAACTAATTATTTGAGTGTATATACCCCGTGGTTTGCCACATATTACCTTTGTACCAGTTAAAAATCAGTCATATCATCAGGTGTGTGTGTAAGTGTGATTCTGATTCCAGGATCTCTGCCCCCAGGGATTGTGTGGAGGAGAGGCTGAGGACCAGGGCTCTGGGAGCTGCCTTCTGCTTCTGCGGCTGGGTCTTCCTGCTGTCAGGCATTAAGTTTCCTGGGCATTGCCTTCATTCTGCTGTGATAGGCAGCATCTGGGTTGCTTCTCCATTGCATAGAGTGGCTTATTGTCTCTGAGGTTCTGCAGCCCAGAATTGAAGCTCTCCAAAGTGGTCTCAGTGAGGACCTGATGTCCTTCAGAGGCTTCACATAATTAGGAAATGACATGTCTCTAAAGGAACCTAATACATGACACTGAATTTTTATTCTTTTCTATATGTCTATTCATTTTTTTTCTTAAAACAAAAACATGATTTGCTCCTAAGAAAACTAAAGCAGTGCGAAGTTTGAATAGTTTGAAAAATACTTCTATTTTATGGACACCAAATCATTTAAATTGATTTAGAGTCCAGTCTGATCGTTTGCAATAAATAGTTCCATAAGACACAAAACCTTTTCAAATTCATTGCCAAAACCCACTGCCACAAAATGGACTTTCAATCATAGCAACCCTACAGGGCAAAGTAGAACTGCTTCATAGGGTTTCCAAGGCTGTACATCTTTATGGGAGCAGACTGCCTCATCTTTCTCCTGTGGAATGGCTGGTGGGTTTGAACCACCAACCTTTTGGTTAACAGCTGAATGCTTTAACAACTGTACCATCTGAGCTCCTTTGTCAAATTACTGAGGAATTTTATACTTTATGTACATCTGTTCCAAAAGTCAATTATCAATTAATACATTTTGGTCTATTTTACCAGTTGTTAGGCATTGTATAAATTGTATGGTTAAAGTGATAAAGATACAATCAGTTTGAGTTAATAACATTAAAGATCAAATAATGCAATTATGCCATAAATTAAAAAGACAAAGGTTTTTTAGCATTAATAGATTTATTAACAGAAACTTCAATAACGTACAGTGTTTTCTTACATGACAAATCAGAAATTAAAACAACTAGTAATGGTTTTTCAGGTTCTACTAATCGGTGGTGGGTGACAGAGGCATCTGTGAATGTGTCATCAAGGAAACGTGAACTTTGGCAGAGACATACACAGTTCCTCACCTCAACATACGCTCACAAGCTCTTTTACAGTACAACCTTGGACACAACACTTTTCACTTAACGATTCACTTAATGTTTTCCTCCTTCTGGAATGTTCATTTGAACCTAAGTGGTTTAATTCTGAAGGCCTGTGGTCTTCTGCTTCACTGTCTTTCTTCTGGGTTATTTTCTGAAGTTCTTCATTTGCCGCCCCCTCCTCTTGAAAATTAGGAATGAATTTTGACATCTTATTTAAGGTTTCTGTATCTTTGTTGGTATATGATGCCATATCTGTGGAGTTAAAAAAAAAAAAAATGGAAGAGGGAACATTCATAACAAGGAGTGTTGGAAAAATTATAGAACACTCAGTATAGCTATACATGGAAACAGAATCAGCCAGTGTCCTAATACCCATGCATTTTAACTTTCTTATGGTTTGGTAGCTCAAAGCACTACAGCATTCCCAACATTTTGCTTGATGCCATCCTGCCCCCTTTGGTCTCTTCCTTGACCCCCTTAAAGCTTTCATGATGGCACTTTTCACTCTTCCTGACACTGTTCCCTCATCCCTGTGAAGTCATCCTGGTCATAGAAGTTCTCAGTGTGACCACAGGTGGATTTTTCTTACTTGAGTAATTTTCTTCCATTGCGAAGTGTCTTAGGCATTATTATAGTAATGCTTTCCAAGTGTGTTAATTATTTGAGGCTATCAAATGCTCTATACAGGCAGATGCTGCTCAGGATAAAGTTAAAAGGGCAGAATTCTCAGCTGCTCTGATCGAACGGACAGGAGGTACAAGCCTTAGAAATACGAGATCTCAAACATCTATCTAATCATTTGTAACCATTTTTCTTTCCCATAGTGTTGCCTTCAAGTCAATAATACTTTACATTAAAGAGAGAGAAGGTTAAAAGAAACTAACCAAAATCACTGGGTTAACAGAGCAATTGGTGTCTGTGCGCTGTCTACTGATTAAAGTGCTATGTGTGGTATGTGCCCACTGTTGTGCATCACCCACTGCACAAGCTCTGTGTGCCTGGAGGAGGAAGACTATGCTCGAACAGCACCCAAGGATGAGCAGAAGTGAGTGCTGGGAAGCAGTTGTAAACAGCTCCCATCTTCCCCTTTCTTCACCCCCAGAACGTTCATCAACTGATATCATGTCTCTGGCACAGCCAGATAGAAATAGAAACAAAGACAAAACATTCTTCCTGCCCACAAACAAAAAACTTTCAGTCACATAAACCTTCTCCTAATCTTTCCTCTCTCAATTATACAATTTTGAGAGTTTTAGCACAAAAGAACTAGAAACACAGATGAAATTGAAATTCTAGTGTAAACCTGAATCCATTCTGGCTGATTTACTTAACAGATGGCAAATCTGTCCTTTTCAGCTTATCATAAAGCATTCCCAGTCAAATAGAAGAAACAAGACCAGAAGGTATCAATGTAATTGATTCTAAATTCTTCTTAACTAGCTTACTATATTGAAAATAGTTCCAGATTTGAGCTGTACTCAATTCCGAGATCTCACTTTTAAAGAAAATCCATTGCAGCTTTCTAAAGCTTGAGGGCACCAAATGGGTCTAGTAGCGAAGTGTCTGCAGGGTGAGCTTCCCTGGACTCTGGTCCTTTGGGTTTCTCTTGTAGGCACCCTGGCCCCTTTATTCCCCTTCCATCCCCTCTCCATCTGAACTTCCTGACAAGTTTACAGAGTGAGACGCAAGGCTCTCCCGTTTGGTTTGGGTTTAAAAAGAAACAAAGAAAGGTCTGGATAGCAGAGGTAGCACTGAAATTTCTTTACAAATAAGGAGAGAAGTTAAAGTCTAAGGAGGTCTCAGAGAGCTGTTCACATGCCCTTTTGTGTGCACACATGCTTGGGAACCAGCAGACCACCTGTGTCCTCCCATTACAAGTCAGTGCTTGGTGCCTTTTGCCACTGCCCTGGAGTCCAGCAGCCCCCAGTGTGGCAGTGACAGCTTTGCTCTTGAGTGCCTGGGGTGACTGCTGCTTCCAGTGAACTTGGGTGGCGTGAACTGCTCTGCGCTTCCCTCTATCCCCACCCAGCCACTTGGTGGCCAGGTGGTGAAGCTCACCTAGCTGCTGTCAAGTGAGGCTTTCCTGCCCTCTGTTGAGATTCTTGGGGAGCTCTGGTGGCATAGTGCCTAAGACATTTGACTACTAACCAGAAGGCTGGTGGTTCGAACCCACCAACTCAGATACTGCCTCAGAAACCAAAGGAACTGACTCCATGGCAGTGAGTTTGTTTTTTTTATTTTAGTGATATTCTCAAGAGCTCCTTTAATGAAAGTAGGTTTCAGAGTCAAAGGCCAAACTTGGGGGCAGTTGCAGCAGAGGTTGTTCAGGCCCTGAGTGCAGACAGCCATTGAAACCAGGGGCTGGGGGAGGGAGCTCTCACCTGTGGGCAGGACGGCCACCAATGCTGGCTTGCTCCTACTGGAAACAGGTCCCCACTTGTTCCAGGCACATAGTTTGTTCCAGTAGTGTACTAATTCATAGCTGCATAGCTTCACGATTTCTGTTGAATTGGAGCAGAGAGCTGTGGGGAGCTGGTGCAGCAGCAGGCAGACTCCTAGCAGGTGGAACACGAGCAGCCTCGGCATCCTGGACCTGCTTTTCAGCCTTTCTCCCGGAAAGTCTATCCTTGGATGCAGGCTGCTTTCCTGGCCCAGCTCTACCAGGCTTTTATAGCCCTTTGGCTGACCCTCAGACTTGAGTTAAAGATCTCCAGCTCCACCCTCTCCTCACTGCCTTTAGGGAATCCCCACCCCCAGCTCCTGTTTACCCTCCCATCCTTCTTCCTATTGGCCCACCCTTCTTCAGCATTTGATCCAGTCTCTCTTACTCTCAAACCATTCTGTATGCTCACTTACTGTTAGTCATTATTTGAAGACTTACTGGTGGTGTAGTGCCTAAGGCACTTGGCTGCTAACCAGAACACTGGCGGTTCAAACCCACCAGCCACTCCTCAGAAGGAAGGTTGAGCAGTCTACTTCCGTAGTGATACTGCCTTGGAAACCCAAGAAGGGGTCGCTATGAGTTGAGTCCAACTGACGACAACAACAACCTTTTTTTTTATTTTATACTTTATTTTGGGTTTTTGTTGTTGTTGTTCTGAATACACAGAGCAGAACATGCACCAATTCAACAATTTCTACTTGTACAATTCAATTACATTGATTACATCCTTCAAGTTTTGCAACCATTCTCACCTGCCCCTTTGAAGTCTTGTCTTTATTAGATCAAGGCTTGACCAACACACTAAATTTAAAAAATTAAAAGTAAGCATATCTTCACAACCCACGTACTCCCAAGTGATCACCAGCTGATCAAATAAGGTTAGAGTTGGATTAATTAGTACAGTGTCTGGTATACTGATCCATAAATATATAAAGGATACATGGAAATATATTGAAAAGCAAGGGAAAAGTAATGATTTTTATTTGGAATCTTGGTAAAAACACGAACATTTCCAACAATATCATTTTAGGCTGTGTAAAATATTTTCAGTTTGCTGCACACGTTTCCATTCTTTCTGGCTGGGGTTGGGAATCTTATTCTTAGCTGGAACTTGAAGGGCCACGACTTAAATTTGCCCTCCAGAGATCCTGACAAGGGGCAAGAAACCACAGGAGCCCCTAGGGTTGCTGTCAAGTCTTTCAGGAGCACTGGATTAGAAGGTCTTCTCATAGAGATGGGAAATCAGACTCTATCACTCTTACCAACTTTACTTTGACTATTCTGGGAGACTGGTTACATAAATACTTTAACTTCAGATTGTATTCTTTACCTCTAGACTCGAGAACACACACAAGATATAAAATAAAATAAATGTAATTCTTGAAACCTAGAAGAAGTTTGTTGATAACACATGTTATGGCTTTAACACAGCCATCTAGGGACCATAAGGTGGGGAGCGGGAGGAAGGCCACTGTGCTCAGGACAGCTGACTAGAAAGGTGGGAGGCTGGCCTCATTCAGATGCTAAACCAGGGCTCAGTGCTGACTATCTGGGCTTCTCTTAAGCCACTGCTATATGGTATTCAAAGGAGCCCTGGTGGTGCAGTGCCTAAGTCATTTGACTGCTAAACAGAAGGTTGATGTCAAACCCACCAGCCACTCCATGGAAGGAAGATAGGGCAATCTACTTCTGAGATTTACCACCTTGGAAAACCAATGGGGGTCACTGTAAGGTGGAATCTGTCGATGGCAGTGTGTTTGGTTTTGGATGGTGTTCTATTATAGAGAACAACATATACCTCTTTAGATAGAGTGAGAGAGAACTTTTTTATAGGATAAATAAACAAAGCTTATAATCATCAGTTTCTCATGAGAGTTTTAGGCAGACTCTTTGTTAGAGATATGCCACGCCATCTTGCGTGGCTCTTCCAGGTTCTTCTTCATTCCCTGCTGCCCCACCCAAGGTCATAAGTCAGTTAAAGGAAGTCGAAACTGAGCTTCCTGCAAGGTGCGAATTTTAAAAGGCAACATAGCCTCTGATAGGTTAAGACCTCTTCCCCTTGCTCTGATGTACAACCTCCTAACCCCAGATCTATATAAGACCACCCTCTTCCTCTCTCTTTTTCCTCCTCTTCCTCTTCTTCCTCTCTTCTCTTCTTCTATTCTTCCTCTTTCTTTCTTCTTCTCTTCTTCCTCTTCTCCTCTTCTTCCTCTTCTTCCTCCTCTTCTTCTTCTTTCCTTCCTCAGTGCAGGCACCCTTTTGCCTCCTTAATAAAATCTCCTGTTGGGTACCCTGGTGTGTGGCGTGGTCGTTGAGTGCTGACGGAGCTCTAACACTCTTGGTAGCATGAAAATTAGATATTATAAAGATATTAACTATTTGAGTGTGTATACTAGAAGGTTTACCACAAATTACAAGTGTACCAGTTAAAAATCAGTCATATCAAAAAGGCAGTAAGTGTGGATTCTGATTCCAGGAGCTCTGTCCCCAGGGATGGTGTGGAAGAAGGGCTAAGTAGCAGAGGTATGAGGAGCCTCCTTCTGCACCTGGAACTGCCTCTTCTTCCTTTTGGGCAGTAAGTTTCCTGGGAATTGCCCTCATTTGCTTAGCTTGGACCTCCATTTCAGAAAATACTCTTCTGCTTTGTCCCAAGCAGCTGAAGGCCTATTAAGTTCTGCTGCCTTGGGTTGAATTCCCTGCTCAGGGGTTTCTATCTGCACTGCCTTCTAGCCTCCTCTGCCTCTAGGTGGGTCTTCGCAAATTCTAAAAGAAACTGACTTTTTCTATAAGATTGAGTTCTCTGCTCTTTACATTTCACTCCCTTGATGTTTCTGCTTGGTGTGTATCTTTTAGTAAATTCTCAATTTTGCCAATTGCTCAACAGCAGACACCCTTCACTCCATCCTGAGGACATCAGGCTGCAGTGGATTGATTTTTGTGTCTATATTTCTTTCATCCTTTTGTTGGGATTTGGAGGAGATGAATGCTACCTGAGCCAGAACCCAGTGCTGGTGTCTGTGTAGTGTACTGTTTCTCAAGGAGGCTTTGGAGCCTCTCCAGGTGTTTGTGCTAGCTTCACAGTAAGTTTTCATGCTGCTTCCTTATCAAAGGAGGGTAATAAGGGTCTTCAGAAATTGCCAATGTCTGCAAACCTTTGGAAATCCCTTGGTGAAGAAATTAGGAGAGATAAAGAACTTCATTATTATTTTCCTCACTTCCAGTTTCTATTTAAATAACTCAGTTATTTGCAGAGTGCATGTGCTGAGGAGAGGCCCAGAAAGAGGTTCCCATTCAATGGAAATTTCATGTGAACAGAGACTTTACTAATTTATTCACTGAAGATGCATGCTTCTCATGTGAATGCACTCAAAAACCAAAAAAAAAAAAGAAGAAGAAGAAGAAAAAAAACAACCAAACTCACTGCCGTCGAGTCAAATCCAACTCATAGCAACCCCTCCTTGGATTTCCAAGGCAGTATCACTATGGAAGTAGATTGCCCAGGTATACACTCAGTAAAGGATTAATTAGATGCCATCTAGTTGACTCTGGTCATGAAGAACTCATGTGTTACAGAGTAGAACTGTGCTCCATAGGATTTACAATATTTGTGACTTTTCCAGACATAGATTTTCAGGCCTTTCTTCTGAGGTACTGTTAGATAGGTTTGAACCACCAATCTTTCAGTTAGAAGCCAAGCACTTAACCATTTGTACCACCCAGAGGCTCCCCAGAAAAAATGATTATGGCCTCCTAAAACACTACTTTTGTTGATCAATAATAAGGTCAATGTAGTGTAAGGCCTACAACTGAGCACAAAGATATTCAGTTATGAAGTTAGACTATGGATAATCATATTGTAATCCTTCCTAGTTTGCTTTCAACATTAACCATTTATTTCTCAAGAGACACCAAATGTGCAATAAGATGGTGGAATGGGAAGACAAGCTACACAGACCCTCTTCAACAAAGAAAAGGGAAACCAGTTGACAGAAATACAGAAGATAATCCTGGAGCCTTGAGCTTTGAAAGGAAGTATAGAGAAGTGGATTAGGCCCAACTAGTGGGAAAACCTGAATGAAAATAGGACCTAAGAATAGGCTCCATTTGCCAAGGATGGCAGGGACATATGGGAGGCTGACAATGGAAAAGGAGGCAGGTGGTGAATGTATAAATGCTGCCAATTAGCTAATAGAGGAGTATAGTACCTTGCTTATGTAGATAATATCCAAAGAAAACAAAAATCATGAGCAAATCATTCCAACATACAATCACCAATTAAATATAAACACAAAAATGTCACAATGTTTCAGAGACAACAGAGCATCACAGTCCACACAAAAAAAGCAAGATAAAGCAGGAGAAACAAGGGACCAATATACAGAACCAGAACACATCCCTGAGGAAGAAGCAGCATTGGAACTCCCTGATAAGGAATTCAAAATAATTATATATAGGTACTGTTTTGGTTACCTAGTGCTACTCTGACAGGAATATACCACAAATGGGATTCCTTGAACAGAGAGGAATTTATTCTCTTATGGTCTGGGAGGCTAGAAATCTTAGTTCAAAATGCCAGGCTCTAGGGGTTGGGTGAAAGTCCCTCAACCGTGGGCTTCAGCTCTGCCTCTTGCTCCTGGCCCACTGAAGCTAGAGGCATCTCTTCACTCAGGGAGCTACTGGCTGCTGAGGCCAACAAGCCCAAGGTTGACAAAAAAATGTCACAGTCTTGATGTTACCAAACCACAAAGCAGGCCATTAATTCAGGTCCATTTAAGTCCCAAGGTCAGCAGAGCATGGCAGGCTGCTGAACAATGACACAGCCACATGCAGTGTTCAAGCATGCCATAAGCTAGAGACCATTCCCAAAGCTCCTTCTTACATATGAGAAGGAGACCACATACCCAAAGCAGCTACTCAGCTGCTCCAATACATTCCACCATGGAGTTTATTACCAATCTTACTGTAGGGAATAACTACATCCAGCTGCCCAGCCACTCACCAGGCCTAGCGAAGTTGACACACAAACTTAACTACCACAGGTATCTTCAACAGATTGAGAGACAAATCAAGGAACACTAACAAAATTGGAGAAAACCCTAGAACAATTTCAAAGACAAAACAAGAACAAAATGATAAAATAAAT